AATACATACATAATACATACACTACATACAACATACTACATACTACATACATACCTACGTAACAAATACAATACATATACATACATACATAACATACATACATACTCCATACCTACAATACATACATACAAGATACCATTACAACCATTACAACATACCATTTACATACCATTAAAATACCATTACATACCATTACAGTACCATTACTACCATTACATACCATTACCTACCATAAACAATAACCAGTACAAACCTTAGTCCATACCATTGCCATTACATTAACATACATACCAGTACATACCAGTACATACCATTGCATTACATTACATACATACCAGCACATACATACATACCAGCACATACATACATACCAGCACATACATACATACCAGCACATACATACATACCAGCACATACATACATACCAGCACATACATACATACCAGCACATACATACATACCAGCACATACATACATACATACCAGCACATACATACATACATACCAGCACATACATACATACCAGCACATACATACATACATACCAGCACATACATACATACCAGCACATAAATACATACCAGCACATACATACATACCAGCACATACATACATACCAGCACATACATACATACCAGCACATACATACATACCAGCACATACATACATACCGGCACATACATACATACCAGCACATACATACATACCAGCACATGCATACATACCAGCACATACATACATACCAGCACATGCATACATACCAGCACATACATACATACCAGCACATACATACATACCAGCACATACATACATACCAGCACATACATACATACCAGCACATACATACATACCAGCACATACATACATACCAGCACATACATACATACCAGCACATACATACATACCAGCACATACATACATACCAGCACATACATACATACATACCAGCACATACATACATACCAGCACATACATACATACCAGCACATACCGGCACATACTGGCACATACCGGCACATACCGGCACATACATACATACCGGCACATACATACCAGCACATACATACCGGCACATACATACATAAATACATACATACATACCTACATACCTACATACCTACATACCTACATACCTACATACCTACATACCTAGATACCTAGATACCTAGATACCTAGATACCTACATACCTACATACCTACATACCTACATACCTACATACCTACATACCTACATACCTACATACCTACATGCCTACATACCTACATACCTATATACCTACATACCTACATACCTACATACCTACAGCACATACACGTATACATACACACACACACATATATATATATATATGTACATACATGCACACACACACACATAGACACATATCCATATCGATGTTCATATGCATATGCATATTCATATTCATATGCAGACATACGCATTTATACAAGGATATAGTTTACTGTATGTAGGTATAGAGATGCACCAAAAAGGTGCTCGAAGAGATGCCAACAGCAACGGAGGCAACAACATGGAAAAAATAATGCCAAAATTGGGCTTGCCTTCATTTTGTTCCAGGATTCATAGGAATGGTAGATGCTGAACTTGGTGCTCAGGTATTTGTGTCGCATGTTGTGCATGCAGCCGCATGCATGAGTTTGACAGAGCTGCCACCTGTATCAAGTTGTGTGGCACCCAGACCTTCCTGTGATGTGCCCCCCAATTGTAAACATTTCTTTTCAACCAATTACCTGGTGGATGCTTGTAACATCTTGCATTTGGATATGCGAGATCACTGGTGGCAGTTGTTTGTTACTTAAATTCAACATCAACATCCATGGCACATCGTTTCCAAGAGCAGGTCGTGTAGCTGCGTGCTCCAGACGCCCATGTTGCATTTTGGCCCTTGTGTGGTGTTGCTGCTTCTTGGATCGTGAAAGGATTGGACGCGCTGGGAAAGCAGACATCACTGGGTCATGTTGGGTAAATCTAGCATCAGAAACCATGGCTTTTAAACATTCAACATGGGTGTTTCCCGTAATTCTTCGGTTAAGCTTCTTCTTGGGGACAAGCTTTCCGACAGAGATGCGGTGGTGTGTGTGTGTGTGCGTGTGCGTGTGTAGTTCTCGCAGAAGCAGGTTCAGAGTGGCTTCGTCCCTTGCCGTGCTTTGTTGCCTCATAACGGCGCACACAGGCAGAATCCGGACCGATCTGCAAACGTACTTGTTGCAAGGTTAAACACATTGCATCCCATCGATCAATGTCAATCATCTACTAGCATCCTATAGCATCTCCAGTTGTTCGTTAAATCCAATTAAAAACCCCATGAAATCCCGATGAAACCCATCAAAATTCACCCAAACCATGGTGGTTGCTGGCTGCGATGTTTTTGGAGGCATCTTCCTTGATTTCTTTGAGCACGGCTCTGCCATGGTACGCTGCTCTATCGAGCAGCGGGAGGAGTGCCTTTGGGATGCGGCACTCTTTGCGTTGTGGAACATTACCTGGATTTGGCACCTTGGCTGCGCGTTCTGGTGCAGTCTCCTGTATTTGGGTCTCAGTGCGAAGCAGTCACAGCTGTCAGCAGCTGTCAGCAGCTGTCAGCAGCTGTCAGCAGGATTCAGATCCTCTTCACCGCCAGCTGGGAATTTGCTGTGGCATATCTTGCTGCAGCTTCTCGATGGCAGTGGCGTTGTGTAGGCCGGGGGGAAGGCCTGGCAGCTGGGCAGCGTGCGCGGAGCCAAGGAATGGTACCTGGAAGGTGGCTTTCATGAAGAGAATCACTTTCAGAAAGGCAAGATTGGGCTGATCCAGTGCTGCAGACAATGCCATGTCTGGTGGGTGCCTGGGCACTCAAAAAGTGCTGGGTTTGCAGGGAGCAAAGTCAGTTCTGATGACTCCCGTGTCTTCGCTGACCTTTGAGGCATTATTCCGATATCACTTCGGAACCATGGTCAAAGCTTCTGTATTCATTGGTACCTTTGGCATTTGTATCACGTGCAGACGCTGCAATAAAAAGCGAGCATCGCAATCTGACTACTAGTTACTAGTGACCATGCCGTGCAGACGAAGCGACGCAGCGAGGCATTCTGCGGCCAGTTCGCTTCGTCCTGGGCAGCTTGACAGCTGTCGTTGCTCGGCTATCCGGAAGTTTGCAGGGAGCTACGGGGCTGTGGGTATCCATACTCCATATGAAATGGGGTGCCGGGTGCCAACCAAATGAGAGGCTGCTCTCTCCAAGGCGCGGATTGAAGCTAACCCAGTGGCAGGCATCATTCTCTGCTGCTGTGGCTGTCTCGTGGACGTGTACGAGCAATATTTCGAACGACTCTCAGCCAATGCCTATATCGAGGCGCTGTGGCAGTGCCATTTGGCAGTGACCCCATGGTGACCCGATGGTGACCCTTTGCAGTTGATTGTTGGCAGTTGCATAGGATACATCAACCAAGAAATGAATGAAGACATCAATTACAAAAAAGATGAGTCATTGACGACTAGATCAACAAGAAAATTGCTTAGTAGATAAATGTATACGCATATGTACATGTACATGTGCACATTCAAGGGCACATGAAAATGCATATGCATATCAGCATAGCCAAGAATGGGGATCATTGACACCAAGAAATTGGAACCCTGCAGGTGGCCCTCTCTGGGGCAAACCTCGAGACAGCTGCCTTCGAAGCCGGCGAGGTCAGTGCGCGTCAGACCAACACGGTGACTTGGTCCATGGCCGCCATGGCCCTGCTCCGCTGCGTGAAACCTGACCAAATTGACCAACTCGGAAACACTGAGGCGAGCAATTTGAATGGTACGACATTCATCTTTCAGTGTCTTGCCTCAACCACCATTTCCTCCTACCGATTCTTGCCTTTTCCTATCTTTTCCTCTTTGGTTTCGATCTGAAGTGCTTGGCCCTTGGAGGGGAGAGCTGAGGCTTGTGGGCTTGGCGCTCATATGGTGGGCGGGTTACTTCATCATGTGGATGAGACTCGGCATCTCTGAGTGCAGACTACACATGGGTTTGAAAATGAAGTCCTTATACTTATACCTATGCCTATACACCCTTTTAATGGGAAAATAATGATAAACTATTACGAAAGCCAGCCGGGAAGCTTTGCAGGGTAATGTACCAGGCGGCAAAACAGTGACGGTGGGTATCGATTCCCCCATTGATGGCAGTAGAGGTGCCCCAACTTCGGGCCGAAGACGCCGCAGACGCCGCAGACGCCCGCGACCGCGCTCCCGAAGAAGACAGCCCGAAGGACGGCGGGCGCGGAGGGAGGGGGACCGCCAGAAACTCCCTGAAGACGCCCTAAGAACGACGCCCGATACACCGAAGACGCCCGGGAAGTGAACGGCCCGAAGACGCCGAAGACGCCCGAATGACGCCGCGAAGACGCCCGAGACGGCCCGAAGACGCCCGAAAGTACGCCCGAAGACGGGCCGAAGACGCCGAAGACGCCGCAGACGCCCGAAGACGCCCGAAGACGCCGAAGACGCCGAAGATGCCCGAAGATGCCCGAAGACGCCGAAGACGCCCGAAGACGCCGAAGAGGCCCGAAGACGCCCGAAGAGGCCCGAAGACGCCGAAGACGCCCGAAGACGCCGAAGAGGCCCGAAGACGCCCGAAGACGCCGAAGACGCCGGAAGACGCCGAAGACGCCCGAAGACGCCGAAGACGCCCGAAGACGCCGAAGACGCCTGAAGACGCCGAAGACGCCCGAAGACGAAGAAGACACCGAAGACGCCCGAAGATGCCGCAGGGTTCCGAACAGGAGTTTAGAAACTAACTCCAGATTTCATTTGTGTCGTTTTACTCCGACCATGTCCGACCAACCCCAAACTTGTCATTTTGATTTATCTTGAGCCATGTTTTATCTACCTCCCTCGGCCCTACAACACAACACGTTCAACATATGAAGCAAGTTGACCTGTCGAGTCATTCTGCTAGTCATTGTCATAATATTTAGTCCCTTCTCCACACAAACACGATGTTCAACATATGAACCAACTTGGCATCTTGAGTCATGTTTGAAATGTCTTTTCCTTCCCCTACAACAAGACAATACGTTGAACAGATGAAGAAAGTTGGCATCGTGAGTCATGATTGAAATTGGACCCAACCAAGCAATATATACATTCTGGCCCCTACAAAACACAACGTTCAACATCGTTCAGCATGAACAAGCCATCTCGAGCCATGTTTAACAGGTCCTTTCCCTACCTTTGCAAACCAACACGTTGAATATATGAACAAAGTAGAAATGTCACGTCATCTTTATATTTTGAACTCCTGTCCTTCCCCTGAAAAACAATACCTCGAACACACCAAAGAGTGGGCTTTCGACATTTACAATTCCGTGACCCTACGCTGCAATACCTTGAACATGTGATCATAGTTGGCATTTTGGGTCATTATTATGATTTCATCCCCTTCCTCCTGCCCTGTACAAACCGCTACATTCAACATATGACCCAACTTGGCATCTTGGGTCATTTTTGAAATATACCCCCCTCGACCTTTCAATATGTTGAACAAATGAAGTAAATTGACATGTCGAGTCCGCGTCATCAAGATTTTTTGCGCTTCCGACGTTGCAAAACAATATATTGAACCAACAAAATTGTCAGCTCAAGTCATTTCTAAAATTTACCCGCCCCTCGACCCTACAAGGCAATACATTCAACATATTAAACCAACTTGGCACCTTGAGTGATGTTTAAAATGTTTTTTCCTCCCCTGCATATTATTGCCTTGAATATTGAACACATTATGTCAATTTTTTGCACCCCCAAAACCTCCACAAAACAATACATTTGAAAGCAGAACAAAACTTCTATCTTGAGTTCTTTTTCCCCACCTGCCAGGTGAAGGTTTCTAGATTTTAACAAAGGTGCGACTCCTTCCTCTTCTTCCTCTCCTTCCTCTCCTTCCTCTCCTTCTCTTCTTCCTCGCCGGCTGTGGATGCAGTGGAGTGCGGCTCGACCTGAGTGCCATGCCGCGAGATCAGGATGCCTGGACCCGACAGCCATATCGCGCGCTCAGGAAGCTGTGGAGCGCGCCTGGACCCGAACAAACAGAATGGCAGAATATACGCCAGATACAATGCCAGAAAGAATGTCAGATAGAATATCAGAATATATTTGCCATAAATACTTCCAGATGGTATGTCGTAAACTATGTCAGAACATATAGCGCGTAAGAGAGGGGCATAAACTTACATTCCATCAGCCCTGCAAAGCAATAGGTTCAACATATATTATATGAACAGTTGACACATGTAGTTAGTGTTATTTAAGCGCTTACGCGCGACAGCCGGCCAGGGGCCCAACTATGTTGGCCCATCGTGTGGCTATATGTTGGCCTATGTAGGCGTATGTTGGCCTATCTTGCGGGCAACGAGGGCCCATCTTGTGGCTATGTTGGCCTATGTTTGCCTCATGTTGGCCCATGTTGAGCCAAAAGATCCGAAAAATGGGAACAGCAAAAAAACGCTGTAAAACGCAGGATATTTGATGGTCGGCGGCCTATCTTGGGGCTATGTTGGCCCATCTTGGGGCTATGTTGGCCTAGCTTGAGGGCAATGTGGGCCCATCTTGGGGCTATGTTGGCCCATCTTGGGGCTATGTTGGCCCATCTTGGGGCTATGTTGGCCCATCTTGGGGGCTATGTTGGCCCATGTTGGGGCTATGTTGGCCCATCTTGAGGCCTATGTTGGCCCATGTTGACCCATCTTAAACCACAAGATCCGAAAAATGGGAAAAAATGGGAAGAGCACAAAACACCGTAAAACAGGACAGTTTTTGGCGGGGGGGAGAGGTCGGCGGCAGGGGGCGCGGCCCCTCTCTCCTACGGAGAGGAGAGAAACGCCGTACGGCTATGCCACGGCCAGGGGGCCCCTGGCCGGATTTAAGCGCTTACGCGCGACAGCCGGCCAGGGGCCCAACTATGTAGGCCCATTGTGTGGCTATGTTGGCCTATGTTGGCGTATGTTGGCCTATCTTGCGGGCAATGTGGGCCCATCTTGTGGCTATGTTGGCCCATGTTGGCCTCATGTTGACCCATGTTGAGCCAGAAGATCCGAAAAATGGGAACAGCAAAAAAAACACTGTAAAACGCAGGATATTTTGATGGTCGGCGGCCTATCTTGGGGCTATGTGGGCCCATCTTGGGGCTATGTTGGCCTAGCGTGAGGGCAATGTCGGCCCATCTTGGGGCTATGTTGGCCCATCTTGGGGCTATGTTGGCCCATCTTGGGGCTAGGTTGGCCCATCTTGGGGCTATGTTGGCCCATCTTGGGGGCTATGTTGGCCCATCTTGGGGCTATGTTGGCCCATCTTGAGGCCTATGTTGGCCCATGTTGGCCCATCTTGCCACAAGATCCGGAAACGGCGAAAAAATGCGACGAGCACAAAACACCGTAAAACGCGGGACTTTTTGGCGGCCGGGGGTGTCGGCGGCTGGGGCGGCGGCCCCTCTCTCCTACGGAGAGGAGAGAAACGCCTTCGGCAATGCCACGGCCAGGGGGCCCCTGGCCGGATTAAGGGGCTGCCGCCCCTGCCGCCGACCCCGGAAGAATGGTCAAGTAAGCAAACCAAATGGGCATAGATATTCTTCGGTGCTTCGCACTTTCACACTTTCTTCTTTTTCATATGTAGATTTTTATGAAATATATTTGATATGTTTGAATTAAATATATGCGACGTCTTGTACTGCTTCTGCAAGCTACCAAATCGCACCAAAAAACTCCCTAACGTCCCTTCTGAAATCCTAGAGAACCAGCTCTTCAACTAGCTCTTCAGCTTACAGCTTCTGAGCCGCCAAAACGCCGGACCCGCCAGCCTGAAACACCATGACATCGCATCAAAAAACTCCCTAACGTCCCTTCTGAAATCCTAGAGAACTAGCTCTTTAACTAGCTCTTCAACTTACAGCTTCTGAGCCGCCAATACGCCGGACCCGCCAGCCTGAAACACCATGGCAGTGAAGGACGAAGAAGCCACCAAATCGCAACAAAAAACTCCCTAACGTCCCTTCTGAAATCCTAGAGAACTAGCTCTTCAACTAGCTCTTCAACTTACAGCTTCTGAGCCGCCAAAACACTGAGCTCCCTGATGTGTTCCCTTCTGAGACGCCAAAACGCCGGACCCGCCAGCCTGAAACACCATGGCAGTGAAGGACGAAGAAGTCACCAAATCGCACCAAAAAACTCCCTAACGTCCCTTCTGAAATCCTAGAGAACTAGCTCTTCAACTAACTCTTCAACTTACAGCTTCTGACCCACTAAAACGCCGGACCCGGCAACCTGAAACACCATGGCAGTGGAGGACGAAGAAGCCACCAAATCGCACCAAAAAAACACCCTAACCTCCCTTCTGAAATCCTAGAGACCTAGCGCTTCAACTACCTCTTCTTCTTCAACTTACAGCTTCTGAGCCGCCAAAACGCCGGACCCGCCAGCCTGAAACACCATGGCAGTGAAGGACGAAGAAGCCACCAAATCGCACCAAAAAACTCCCTAACGTCCCTTCTGAAATCCTAGAGAACTAGCTCTTCAACTAGCTCTTCAACTTACAGCTTCTGAGCAACCAAAACGCCGGACCCGCCAGCCTGAAACACCATGGCAGTGAAGGACGAAGAAGTCACCAAATCGCACCGAAAAACTCCCTAACGTCCTTTCTGAAATCCTAGAGAACTAGCTCTTCAACTAGCTCTTCAACTTACAGCTTCTGAGCCGCCAAAACACTGAGCTCCCTGACGTGCCTGCCTTCTGAGCCGGCCCCCAAAACGCCGGACCCGCCAGCCTGAAACACCATGGCAGTGAAGGACGAAGAAGTCACCAAATCGCATCAAAAAACCCCCTAACGTCCCTTCTGAAATCCTAGAGAACTAGCTCTTTAACTAGCTCTTCAACTTACAGCTTCTGAGCCGCCAATACGCCGGACCCGCCAGCCTGAAACACCATAACAGTGAAGGACGAAGAAGCCACCAAATCGCACCAAAAACCTCCCTAACGTCGCTTCTGAAATCCTAGCGAACTAGTCCCTTCTGCAATCCGAGAGAACTAGCTCTTCAACTAA